CCGGCTCCGCCGACGTGCCCGAGGACGCTCGGAACCCAACGAGCATTCCCGAGCTGTCTAGCAACCCCTGACTTCACCTTCCACGCACTTAGGGAATGATGCAGCCACGTTTCCGCCGTACCGTCTCGTGCCGTAACGCGTATATATATATACATATCCATATATACGGTGATTCCGCAGAGACGCAACCGCTCCGAATCCCTTTGACATACGTCGAACGACGTATTTTCAAAGACCGCAAACAGTCGTATTGGCGGCGCACGTACGAGTCGTACGTAGGCGTTTTCAATGGTCTTTACGAAGAACGAAAGCTGCTCCTTTCTCGGTGGGTTAGGGTGAAATTAAAATCTGCAAAAGACATTTGCATGCGGAGTCCACTGTGGCGTGCAAAGTCGAGATAGATATGTGGGTCATCGTAATCTGAACTGTACGTGCTATCGAATACGGCGTATCTGGCGTACACGTAAGTTGGCGAATGGACGTTACACTTTGTACCCGAGAGTTACGCGATGTGTATTTACATGGAGATACGTAGTACAGTTTGGGTACAACGAAAATATCGGATAACGTGCTTTCACTTGGGAATTGAATGACGAGCGTATATAGATTGCCGGATATAGGGTCAAAGTGTAGCCTTTGGTATACAGCTTGTGTCGTGTTACGTCTGTCCCGTCGTCGTATGTACTCTGGTGCCTCTGCCGTGTACGCTCTTTCGGCATAGAACATGCCAAGTACATGGTGCCGTTTGAAAAGGGCCGAAAGGGAGACTTGAAATAGATAGGGCGCAGGATGTGGGATGCGCGGATGTTCCGGGATGGCCAGAAGGAGTGTGGAAGCGCGCGTGGCAATGAGAATGGTAAAAATTCGAAGAATCCCCTGCGGCGCATGTATGCGGACGATGACGTGGGTCGCGAAGGGGACTGTGGGACGGGAGGTTAGAGGGAGAGGGAAAGAAGCATATCGGTAGGATCGTGCGGGCTGGGGTAGCAGAGAGAGAGAGAGAGAGAGAGAGAAGTTACAGAGAGCCAAGATTAAGGAATGGAAATGAGAGAAACGGACAGGCCGTCGTCCGTAACGCTTAAGCAAATCCAAATAAATGCACTCCCCTCACCTTCTTCGTATGCCCGACGGTGCATCCTGTCGCGCATACACGTGCACCCCGCACGGCGCATGCGCACTGGCTACGTGCCATTACGTCCGATTCTCCATTCCGTCCGCGTACGAGGCAAGATCCGCGAAACTTTTCAAGATCCGTGAGTCGAGCGCACGCATTAAGCCAGTCCCGCTGCGAAATTGATTGGTCTGCCGGGTGGGGAACTGAATAATTCAAGCACCAGACGAGACACGTCCGCGTAGTACGGTTAATCGAATTAAAGCAAGGGAAAGGTGGTGGCTTCTGGGTATTCCTTTGCAGCCTTGGAAAATAGTCTACGCTCGACTGCGCGAGCTATCTCCTGTCTGGATCTGGTTTTCAGTGACGTATCAAGGAAAACAAATGCCCCAGTCAATATCCACGATACAGAGTTGCCACTTTTAAATAGTTCGTCAGGGCCCATCGTCATGCATTACCAAGCGAGTAACGCTCGTGTCGATAAAGTAGATTACATTGTTTGGTATGACTCACCGAGTTGGACGTACATCTTCGGCCTGACGTTCTCCTGCCACGCTGCCAGCACGACGCTCCAGCAGGCGAGAAGCACGTGAACGATTGACGGCTGCATAACGACGGCGCGTACGTATTTCCAGCACCGTTGGTTTGTCTACCGTAATTTCACTTTGACAAAGCGATCACGCTCGCGTCGCTCGCGATCGTCCAACGCACGTTGAACATTATGGCCGACACGGATCGAACCTCTCGATCCGGCAACGAGCACGCACCCCTTGTACCCTCGTGTAACACTCGCGGACGATCGCGGCCGAACTGGACAGGTGACTCGCGATTAACGCTGAAAACACGCCGTTGCGCACGCGCCTTGTCTCCCCCCCCCCTTCCCCACTTCACTCGATAGCTTATCCTCCTGCCCTCTCGCTCCGTCGCTGGCTCCCTTTTGGCTTCTCTCTCTCTCTGGGTAAGGGGACGGCAGCCGTTGCTCCGACGAAGGGGAGGGTCGACGGGTGGCCAGTAGGCACCCTCGACACTAGCAACGATTCTGCGCCCTTGTCTCTCCTCCTCTCCTCGTCCCTCGCCCCTCTGACGATGCCGCTTACAGTCACTCTCGACTACCCGAACTCTAGCAGGATCCCTTACACTCTTGGACGATCGTTCTCGTCCGGGACACGCTGATTATCTGAAAGGAGAATTACGTTAGAAGGTTTCTTGCTTATAGGAGGTTAAACTATCATTGTCTCTCTCTCTCTCTCTCGCTCTCTTACTCGTCCCCTAAGCTCCATCATGGGAGCACAGCTTGACGAGGAGCTTTTAGGTGATTGTAATTTCGAATTATGTTATCGAGCGAAAATGAATTCACGATGAGATTGGACCAAAAAGATCCCTCGGTCATAACCGAAAGGAATTGCTCGGTAAAAGCTTTCACGTGGTAATCGAGCATTCATTGTCTTACTCGACTGTCACAAAAATACTATTGATTTTACTATGGTGGGTACAGCGGCACGAGAGCCAGGTCTCTCTGTGTATGGTCACATCGAGGGGATCCTTCTCGTGAATGGTTGAGTTGCCAAGAGTCGAGGGTCTTGATAAGTTTTGATCGGTACCGATCCCGAGAACCTGAGCAAGCTCAGGGTACGGATGGGTGTCGACGGTATTCGGGAATAAGACGGACTTCGTTGTGAGTCCGACAGTTAAAGGGGAATGGTTATGGGAGAAGTTGGCTATCGGAAAAGAGTGACACTGTACGGTCAGGGGGATTTAGTCGATGCAGAAGGCGAACGAAGGAGACGAATGTGAAGGCAGAAGGCTGCGGGAGGTAGGAGACACGTGATCGAGTGAGAGAGAGAGAGAGAGATGAGAGAGCAGAGGGACAGTAACGGCGTGGCGTTTAACGTCGCGATGGCAAAGTGCCGGCTATGTGGCCGTATCGTAGAGATCAATAGCCGAACAACGGGGAAACCACGGTGGGAAATGCTGGAAATGCGGCTACACGGCGGACATGCTTCGCCCGATGGATATCGCCAATATGTGCCTTCATTTTTTTACCCCCCCCCCCCCCCC